TGCGTTAACCGTTCATCCCCCTCTTTAGGTAGGTCACCTGACCTCCTAGTCAATGCATCTGGTTTTGTTCCTTGTTTTCCTGGCCGAAATTGTATAACGAAATCGAAGCGTGAAAGAAATTCGGACCAACGGGCTTGTCGACGATTTAACAATTTTGTTGTCATAAAATACTCAAGATTCCGATGGTCGCTAAGAACTTCAATTGGAAATTGAGCTCCCTCCAGATGATGTCGCCATTCTTCAAAACATCGTATAATTGCTAAAAGCTCTTTGTCATAGATTTCGTAGTTGCATTCTGCGGGAGAGTGTTTCTTGGAAAAGAAAGCAACTGGATGTAGAATTCCTTCGTTGTCACGTTGAGATAGGATTCCTGCTGAAACATAGTCGGATGCATCAGTTTCTATCACAATTTTTCGATCTGGATTAAAATGAGCTAGTATCGGTGCCGTTGTAAACATCTTTTTCAAAGTCTGAAATGCTTCCTCCCTTTCATCCGTCCATTCAAATTTAACGTTTTTCTTTGTCAAGGCTGTAAGCGGGGCAACAATTTTCGAATATCCCAAAATAAACCGTCGGTAGAAATTTGCAAATCCTAGGAATACTTGAACATCACGAAGGTTTGTCGGTGTAGTCCATTCCAAAACATCGATAACTTTCTTTGGATCCATTCTATTCCCATTCGGAGTAAGGATTAAACCAAGATATTTTGTTTCCTGAACCATAAATTCACATTTTTCAGGTTTAAGGTGAACATGATTTTCATCAAGTACCTTTAGAACCTTTTGAATATGTTCTTTATGTTCTGATAGGGTCTCGGAATAGATAAGGATATCGTCTAAGTATGCTGTTACGAATTGATCGAGGTAGGGACGTAGAATATCATTGATCCAATGCTGAAATGTAGCAGGGGCATTAGCTAATCCAAACGGCATTACTGTATATTCGAAATGTCCATATCGAGTCCGGAATGCTGTTTTCCATTCATCTCCCTCCGCTATCCTGATTTGATTATATCCCCATCGTAAATCCAACTTAGTATAGTATCGTGCTCTTGATAACTTAGCCAGGGTTTCTTTCAACAATGGTAATGGATATCGATTTTTGATTGTAATCGCATTTAGGCCTCGATAGTCAACACAAAGTCGAAGGGTTCCATCGCTTTTCTTCACAAACAGTATGGGTGCTCCCGCTGGTGATTCACTGGCTCGAATAAATCCTTTGGGTAAATTTTCATCAAGATATTCTCGTAGTGCTTTTAACTCAATTTGAGATAATCCATATATAGGTCCATATGGTGGTCGTTTGCCTTCCTCTAATACTATCTCGATGTCATGGGATGGTCGATGTGGTGGGAGAATTGAAGCATCATATTCTTTGAACATATGAAGACGATGGTGAAATTCTTTCGGTACTAATTGTTCGATATCGATAGTGGATTTTTCGGTTGCTGAAACGATGACTGTATGGTGTTCCGGTAAGGGGATCGAGATACCATGAACAATAACTGCAGTTCCACTGAGTGAACAGTGTTGACAACAGCTTCGAGAGTCAAAAACAAGTAGATTTTCTTTTGGTCGAATCGTAACATCATGTCGTCGCATCCAAGGTGTCCCCATCACAATCGGATAGTGTCCTAACTTCGTTACAAAACATGGCGCCGTCTCCCGATGACCATGAATGTCTAGCGAGACATCGACAATATGGGTAATTTTTCCTGACTTAATAGGCCTTCCGTCTATAACGTCTACATGGCGAGGTATTTTAAGGGGGGTCATTGTAAGATTGTTGTGGCGTGCAAAGGATTCATCAATGAAAGCATATCCTGATGCTCCGGTATCAATAAGGGCGTAGGTAGGTATAAACGAATTTTTATTCTGTGAAATCGAACAAGTTACTACAAGTTGATTTCCATCCATTTCCTCCTCTGATACCGAAAAACCAGAAATACACATCTTAGAAAAATCCTTAAACGGTCCCTGGGCTAAGCCACTTAGTGCAGGGACAAATCTTTTGCCGACTCATTATCGCTTCCATCATTTTCTTCCACTGTCAACGCCGCTCCTCTCATCACAGGCCTCCTTGGTTGATTTCCAGTTGCCCTCGCTTGGGGGCAATTTCTAACCATATGCCCGACACCTCCGCAATAGAAACATCGGCCCTCAGCTAATCGGGCGTTTCTTTCGGCAGGGGTAGGGCGACGACGTCCTCCAGACAGGTCCATGGGTACATCACCTCCAGGACGGAATGAGGGGTGATTCTCAGTAGCAGGTGGGTTGGCAGCAGGGGCAGCAGGACGGGGAGCAGGAACAGGATTTGTTGGTGGAGGGCGCGGAGCCGGGGTCGCAGTAGTAGTCCAAGGTTTTTTACTACCTCGCTTAGCTTCCGCCGCCCGTCGTCGGTTATCCAATCGTTGCAAGAGTGTTGCACAACCATCTACCGTTGCAGGAGTCTCATGGTGTATCATCGATTCGTCCAGTTCCCCATTAATTCCTTCCATCAAAGCCTCAATCCGAGAGACTTCATCCATACCCGACTCAGCAGCATACCGTTGAAACTCAGCAAAATAATCGGCAAAGGTTCGAGTGCGTTGTCTGATGTTCCGAAGATTTCTTCTAGCTGTACGCATTCGATCGGGGTCTCCAAAAGCTGTATCCAGAATCTCATAAAACCGTGTCATAGAAGGTAAGGCAATACCTTCTTCTCCCATGTACTGTAAAAACTGATTGGCAGCAGCACCTTCCAATCTGCTGAACGCGTACGATAACTTAGACTGTAGTGTAGGATAGCGATCGGCATTTCCTAATAGCTTAAGTTTCATTTGTTGCTTGAATAAGTGTAGCCTTTCCCGGTCACGATCCCCCCTGAACACGTCGGGGTCTGGGAGTTTCTCCGACCGATAGGTGGTACCGGTAACTGGTGGTGCTGGGGGTACAGGTGGAGCATTATTTCCAATAGGTTCTTCGTCAGGGGCCACAATCTGAACAGCAGTTTGTTGAGCTCGGGCAGCAGTAAGATCTCGTTCAAACATTCTTCTTGCCCTCTCAGCCTCCGCTTCTACCTCTTGTAAATCCGTTGCATATTGAGTAAGACCATTTTGACACTGTTGAAGAAGCGCATAAGCTTCAGCTCCGACAACATGATCGACCTGTGGATGCGCTTCAAAAAATCTTTGGAGGTTATCGTTGAGTTGTTGATAATCGACATGGACATGTTCCGACATTGTAGGCTATGGTGTTGTATTGGTTGGCGATAGAGGACGCAACCTACGTATCACGGGGACTGTAGGCAATAGACTGTGGTGCCAAGGAATACAACCTAGGTAGTGACGTAGACGTGAACGTAGATGTAAAGGTATGCTTTGACTATGGACTATGGGGTGGCTCTGCCTGGTATGATAAACCGGTTGGAGCCCTATGACGTAGTGCGGACAGAGAATAGTATTCGTGGAATAAATACAGAGGTTGCGTAAGGAAGAAAGAGAAGAAGGAAAACAGACAAAAGCACGAGACAACGCCCCCTTATATATCCATCCATAATCCAACAATGACTAATACCTTCGCGTAACAGAAACCCAAAGAACATAACAGAAATCCCCATTACAAATCCTAATTCCACTGCACGATACCTCCTTCCCTCATCCCAGTTCATCACCTAGCCGAAATACATAGCTGCCATTACAGTTTGGCTAGTCAGTGAATGACACAGTATTTATATCCCTCGCTTATGTCTCGAGGACCCAGTCTACTAATAATACAGAATGCACTCGGGGCATGCCCGAGACCCTGAAAAACAACCAAGAACATTTAACTCCTAAGTCCATAACCCAAACTCCTAAATCCGCTGAAACCCCTCAACCTATTTATCCACTCTAATGCACGTTCCCCTGTCGATGTTTCTTCTCCATCGACCGTCTGGTGGATGATCGTCAGCGTCGGCTATTCGGAGGTCTGGGACGGCGAGGCTACCTACTCAGGCCTCTTCCCACATCGCTTTCCCACATAGCAGAGTCCTCTCATGCCCACAGATACTGCCGATAGGTACTCGGTCGGCTGGCAGCTTGCACCGATTCGCTCCGAGCGGTCCGATCTTCGATCCGATTGATTCCAGCTGTCCCTCATATGTCCACCGGTACCAAAACACTCCCCTCCGGCGGTTTGACGCTCCGGGGGTTATTATTGGGGTCGAAAACGTGTTTTTTAACTAGGAAAACCGCAACTCCGCATTTGGTCGCATATTGATCGCACCGCACCTCGTGGGTGCGAACCGGAGTTGTCATTAGTGTACAGAGGGTATTGGGGTATCTACTGGCCTTTTCTCTTACTCCCGTAAATGCTTGGCATGCCCGTAACAAAAGTATTTCAAAGGTATAGTCAAATTAAGTTGTAACTCGCGTATCAACGATTTATATTGTTAAGACTCTGATTTCGCCGATGATGGTTTGGCTAGTCAGTGAATGAAACGGTATTTATATCCCTCGCTTATGTCTCGAGGACCCAGTCTACTAATAATACAGAATGCACTCGGGGCATGCCCGAGACCCTGAAAAACAACCAAGAACATTTAACTCCTAAGTCCGTAACCCAAACTCCTAAATCCACTAAAACCCCTCAACCTATTTATCCACTCTAATGCACGTTTCCCTGTCGATGTTTCTTCTCCATCGGCCGTTCAGGCCTCTTCCCACATCGTTTTCCCACATAGCAGAGTCCTCTCATGCCCACAGGTACCGCCGATAGGTACTCGGTCGGCTGGTAGCTTGCGCCGATTCGCTCCGGGTGGTCCGATCTTCGATCCGATTGATTCCAGCTGTCCCTCATATATCCACCGGTCCAAAAGCACTCCCCTCCGGCGGTTTGACGCTCCGGGGGTTATTATTGGGGTCGAAAACGTGTTTTTTAACTAGGAAAACCGCAACTCCGCAGTTGGTCGCATATTGATCGCACCGCACCTCGTGGGTGCGAACCGGAGTTGACATTAGTGTACAGTGGGTATTGGGGTATCTACTGGCCTTTTTTCTTACTCCCGTAAATGCTTGGCATACCCGTAACAGTAAGGGTATTCCATTGGGCTACAGCATCATCTCGAGAGATGGCTTCACCGAAGGCTGCTCTAAAGGCATCCACAAAGGGATCCCAGCGCTTCCATCTCAGATCCAAAGACACCGGCATTCCAGCAAGGCGGTTGGCGGAGGCTTGATCAATTGAATTGTGGTATGCCTCATACCATCTGATCGCTGCCTCTCCTTCCATCAAGTTGCCTGCATATCTAATCTTAACCTCCTCAGAGGTAAATGACAGGCTCTCAATGGAGAACACATTCTCGCATTGCCGGATGAAGGTCTCCACTTGCTCTGCTTTGCCTTGGAACTTTGAGGGTGGTGGTGCCTTCGGTTCTCGGGCCCTGGTGGCTGAGGAAGGGGGAGAGGCGGCGGGAGGACGGTACTGCTGGGACATCATAGCAAACAGATCCTTCTGTTGCTTCTCCAGCTTCTTCTTAAGGTATCTCCGCCAGCCTCTTCTATCACCACCTTCTGGTTCCGAGTCTGAGCTGTCAGAACGGTCTGAATCTCCAGGAGCGGGAGCGCGGGCCACGGGAGGTGGAGGGTTCTGATTTCTACCGCTTCCACCCTGTTCGTTAGCTGGTGGGGCAGCGGTGGCCGCAGCAGGAGGGGCCACAGGTGCTACTAGTGCCGGGTTGCTGGCCAGTGGTGAGGTTGCTGCTGGTTGAGCGGCCCCAGACATAGTAAACCTTCCCGGGTTCCTGGCTAGTGGACTGGGAGGTCCTCGGCCTGCACCTGGGTAGAGTTCTCCCTCATAATCAAAGGATCGGTCGGCTAATCCAAGAAAGGGGTTTATTCCTGCGAAGCAGCTAGGAGGTAAGGGAGTGTAACGGAGCCATTTCAACTGTTTGGTGTATGAGTACACACAGGGCCCGGTTACATGCTGAGAGTTATTGTTAGAAGCCAGTTGCACGGTGATATGCAAGTACCGGCAGTGTGGTTAGCTACCAGCTGTTAGAGTAATTACATTCCGGGCGCTAGGAAGAAGATCTATTCATGGGAGCAATGACTGATGAGTCTATGCCTCGCCAGTGACTAGAAGACCGGCCAGAGTGAAGTTCTGATTGCCCGGTGATCCTCTATATCCTCTGAGCATTGTAAGTCCGCCGAAGGGCAGGGACTATGCTAGGGAAGTCTACAATAAGCGAAAGCTCTACAGCAATGATTAAGCTTACACCTGAGTGGCAGCTCATTCATGCAGGTCCTCGTTTGTGTGGCAACCAAGGCTGCAGGTGTTACAAAGGCTTTGACTAAGAGTGGTTGCCTTGGGTATCGGAAAACACCTGCTGACGCTTAGAGAAAAGCGGGGTAGCGGTGGTATTGTTTCCGGTACTGAAGGAAGGCCCACCGGAACTTAGTAAGGAGTTAGGAGCAGAGAATAGAGGCCTTCGGAGTATAAGTACTCAGGTTCATTCTCGCCCTTCCGTCCGATTCTCTCCAGTCTTCATCAGAAAGAAAAAACCAAGTCCTCATCGGTAGCAGAGCCCTTAAAGATTATTGAGTTCTAGCGATAGTATCTTTGAATAATCTGCAACCTGATTGTCTATCTTGCACGGCCGTCTCTATTCTATCCGATTCTATTCCTCTTAGAAAGGACCCCCATTACAGGGAGATGCTCCCACCGCTGGCTGCACAAGAGGAACAACTCTCCTAGTGGATCGGACCGGAAATGCTGCAAAGGGGCTGGTCTTTCGCTGCATTGTTCTGGTGGCTGCTCTGGAAGAGGACCTGGAGCCTGGATTTGGTGCCGGAGTTGCTGGTCTACCCACCACCAGTCTTCCCTCATCAAGGGCTCTCTGTATCTCGGCAACAAAGTCTAATGGAGTAGCCGGGTTTGTCCACTCAATCTCCATGGCATCGGCATTTAATTCGTCTCTCTCCGCATACTTCCGGAGTTCTTCCTGAACAGAGTTGACCTCCATCTTCATGTACTCAAGAGCCTCTGCCATTAGAGCATTCTGTACTGCCTGGCGCTCTTGTACAAGGAGTAGGGCCTGACTGCCCCGGATCAACTGATTCTGCAGGCTGTGCTGGAGGTAGGTCTGGAGCTCTGTGAAGAACTGTTGTATGGAAACCTCGTTGGTATCCTGCCAGGCAGGCTCACCACCGGGAATGTAGGTCTGTAGCGCAGTCCTGGGCTTCTTAACAAGCTGTGTTTGCCCGGTGGCTTCAAGCTGGAGGGGCACCGGCTGCCATTCAATCTGAAGGGGTGCATCTGAAGCCGGGAGCGCAGACATTTTATATAGAGGAAGAATAATCTGAAGGTGACTTGAGCCTTAAAGATTATCTGTAACGGGGGTCCTTTCTAAGAGAAATAGAATTGGATAGAATAGAGATGGCCATGCAAGATCAACAATCAGGTTGCAGATTATTCAAAGATACTATCGCTAGAACTCAATAATCTTTAAGGGCTCTGCTCCCTATAAGAACTTGGTTTTTCATTCTGATGAAGACTGGAGAGAATAGGACTGAAGGGCGAGAATGAACCTGAGTACTTATACTCCGAAGGCCTCTATTCTCTGTTCCTAACTCCTTACTAAGTTCCGGCGGGCCTTTCCTCGGTGCCGGAAACAATACCACCGCTACCCCGCTTTTCTCTAAGCGTCAGCAGGTGTTTCCAATACCCAAGGCAACCACCCTTAGTCAAAGCCTTTGTAACACCTGCAGCCTTGGTTGCCACACAACCGAGGACCTGCATGAATGAGCTACCGCTCAGGTGTAAGCTTAATCATCGCTGTAGAGCTTTCGCTTATTGTAGACTTCCCTAGCAAAGTCCGTGCCCTTCGGCGGACTTACCTTGCTCCGAGGATACAGAGGATCACCGGGCAATCAGAGCTTCACTATCACGGGGACTATAGGCGATAGACTGTGGTGCCAAGGAATACAACCTAGGTAGTGACGTAGACGTGGACGTAGACGTAAAGGTATACTTTAACTATAGACTATGGGGTGGCTCTACCTGGTATGATAAACCGGTTGGAGCCCTATGACGTAGTGCGGACAAAGAATAGTATTCGTGGAATAAATACAGAGGTTGCGTAAAGAGGAAAGGAAAGAAAAGAAAACAGAAGAAAACCGAGACAACACCCCTTTATATATCCAGACCTCAACCCACAATGACTCATCTTCTCGCGTAACAGAAACAAAAAGAACATAATAGAAACTCGCTTAACAAATCCCACACACACTACGCAATCCTTCCTTTACATACTCTGACACTTCACATAACCGAAACGTATGGCTGCCGTTACAGACCACTCCCCCCTCTAATACCTACCTCCTGGTAGGCTTAGGCTTCCGTGGGTAACATTCGTGGAATCGTTTAACAATATCGGGCGAATGTTCGACGTCCGACAATGGTTGCCAAGAAGCTTCATCATACCCAACATACTTCAGTAGATATTCGAATCTCCCCCGGCGCTTCCTTGAATCCAAAATATCTTCAACCTCCCACTCCTCCTGTCCTTCAATTTCAACTGGGGGTGGAGGTAGTTGTTCCTGACTGGGCAAGGGATCATTGGCTGCGGGCGACAATAACGAAACGTGGAATACTGGATGAATTTTCATTGATCGGGGAAGTTCCAACTCGTAAGCATAGGGATTGACAATACGTTTAACGTTATAGGGTCCAATACGTTTCCAGTCAAATTTCTTGGAAGGTCGCTTGGTTAGGATATGACGGGTCGATAGGAAAACCTTATCTCCTAAATGGTATCGAGGAGCTGGAGTCCGATTCTTATTGGCTGATTCTTCTTGTATCCTTTGCGCTCGAAACATCTCTTCTCTTAGGAAATCCACTACATCCTTCATTTCCCTTGCAATACGATTCGCTTGATCTTCCGCCGTCGTTCGACCATGTTCCAAAGGGCCAAAAGTCATTCTTGGATTTCTTCCCGAATTGGCATAGAACGGGGAGACCTTTGTTGTTTCGGAAGCATGGTTGTTCGTCGCAAATTCAGCCATTGGTAACATTCGAGCCCAATCATCTTGTTGGTAGGAAACATAACTTCGGAGGTACTGTTCCATTACTGCATTGATTCTTTCCGTTTGTCCATCTGTTTGGGGGTGAAATGCGGTAGAGAATTTTGGTAATTGTAACGGGGACTATGGGCGTAGGAACTATAAAGCCAAGGAATACAACCGAGGCGAAGACGTGGACGTAGGAGGTTCGTGGACTATGGACTATGGACTATGGGGCCGAAGGGTACACCTAAGGCAAGAACGAGGACTGTGGACTATGGACTATGGATGGTTATACCTGGTCTAGTATACCGGGTAAACCCTATGACGTAGCGCGAACCAAATAATATTCGTAACTGTGAAGTACAGAGATTGCGTAAAGAGAAAAGAGAAAGAAAGAGAAACAAGAAATCACAAGACAACACCCCCCTTATATATCCATACCCTATTCCAATGCTGACTCATACCCTCGCGTAACAGAAACAAAAAGAACATAATAGAAACCCGCTTCACTAAACCCAACCACACTGCATAATCCTTCTCCCTTATACTCAGACAACTCAAATAGCCAACCCGCCTAGCTGCCGTTACAGACCACTCCCTCCTCTAAGGCCTATCTCCTGGTAGGCTTAGGCTTCCGTGGATAACGTTCATGGAATCGTTTGACGATATCGGGCGAATGTTCGATATCCGACAATGGCTGCCACGAAGCTTCGTCATAACCGGCATACTTAACCAAGTATTCAAATCTTCCCCGACGATCCCTGGAATCTAAAATATCCTCGACTTCCCACTCCTCCTGTCCTTCAACTTCGACCGGCGGTGGTGGTAACTGTTGTTGTCCTGGTAAAGGATCGTTTGCTGCAGACGACAATAAAGAGACATGGAATACAGGATGAACTTTCATAGAACGAGGGAGTTCCAACTCATAGGCATAAGGACTAACGATCCGCTTCACGATATATGGTCCAATGCGTTTCCAATCGAGTTTCTTCGAAGGGCGTTTAGTGAGGACATGGCGTGTTGATAAGAAAACCTTGTCTCCTACCCGATAATGGGGGGCTGGAGTTCGATTCGAATTGGCCGATTCTTCTTGAATCCTTTGCGCTCGAAATAATTCATCCTTTAGAAAATCCAATATATCCTTTATCTCCCTTGCAATACTATTGGCCTGATCCTCCGCTGTCGTCCTACCATGTTCCAAAGGGCCAAAAGTCATTCTTGGATTCCTCCCTGAGTTGGCGTAAAATGGAGAGATTCTCGTCGTTTCCGAAGCATGGTTGTTTGTTGCAAACTCGGCCATTGGCAACCATCGAACCCAGTCGTCCTGTTGATAGGAAACATAACTTCGAAGGTATTGTTCCATCATAGCATTGATTCTTTCCGTTTGTCCATCCGTCTGGGGGTGAAACGCTGTAGAAAACTTTGGCGATATTTCCAAACGATCGCAAAGAGACCTCCAGAATTCCGCAACAAATTGTGTTCCTCGATCAGATACCATAGTTTCAGGAAGTCCATGTAATTTCCAAACATTTTCGATATACAGCCTCGCTACTTCCCTCGAGTCTGCCTCCTTAGTCGTTGGTATTAGATGTCGCATTTTGGTTAGTCTATCTACCACAACTAGAATCGCATTATACCCATTGCTTTCGGGGAGATCGGTGACAAAATCCATTGACACATCCGTCCACGGTCCATCAGGTATTGGCATGGGACGGAGTACTCCATAAGGCGCATTACGTGTTGCCTTACTACGGGCACACACATTGCAATTCCTAACATACTGGTCGACATACTTTCGCATTTGTGGCCAGTAGTATTCTCGATTCAAAAGCTCTAGGGTCTTTGCTCTACCAGGATGTCCTGCTGATGGTTTGTCATGGTGTTCTTTAAGAAGTCTTAGCCGAAGGTCGTTGACATCCGGTACATAGAGTGCGCCACGGTAAAGTAGCCGACCATTATTATCTTCCATACATTCGGCAAGCGAAATCTTATTCGAGTGACGGACGCCGTTCCGAAGCATCGCGAGTACTTTGTTCGGGAAACTGTCAACTTGATAAGCATTTAAAAACAACTCTTCTACAGTGGACATTCCTTCAGCGGATTCATTTGAAAAAGAACCCGCGAACAAACTTAGCTTTGAATCCAAATTTTTTCGCTTCAAAACCACCTGGCTTTGATGCATCAACCGTTCATCCCCCTCCTTAGGTAGGTCACCCGACCTCCTAGTCAATGCATCCGGCTTTGCCCCTTGTTTCCCTGGTCTAAATTGAATAACGAAATCGAAACGTGAAAGAAATTCCGACCAACGGGCTTGTCGACGGTTTAATAGCTTTGTTGACATAAAATATTCGAGGTTCCTATGATCACTGAGGACTTCGATTGGATATTGTGCCCCTTCTAAATGATGTCGCCATTCCTCAAAACATCGTACGATTGCCAGAAGTTCTTTGTCATAGATCTCATAGTTACATTCCGCAGGGGAATGTTTCTTAGAGAAGAAAGCAACTGGATGTAAAATTCCTTCATCATCACGTTGGGACAGGATTCCAGCAGAAACATAGTCGGATGCATCGGTTTCTATTACGATTTTCCGATCCGGATCAAAGTGCGCTAGGATGGGTGCTGTGGTGAACATCTTCTTCAATGTCTGGAATGCTTCCTCCCTTTCATCCGTCCATTCGAATTTAACATTTTTCTTTGTTAACGCTGTAAGGGGAGCAACAATTTTTGAATATCCTAAGATAAACCGTCGATAGAAATTTGCAAAACCCAAAAATACCTGAACATCATGAAGATTCCTTGGTATAGACCATTCTAAAACATCAACAACTTTTTTCGGGTCCATCCTATTCCCATCAGGGGTGAGAATAAGGCCGAGATACTTTGTTTCCTGGACCATGAATTCACATTTCTCAGGCTTAAGGTGAACATGATTCTCATCAAGTACCTTCAAAACCTTCTGAATGTGTTCCTTGTGTTCCGACAGGGTTTCCGAATATATCAGGATATCATCCAGATATGCCGTTACGAATTGGTCAAGATAAGGTCGTAGGATATCATTGATCCAATGTTGGAATGTGGCCGGAGCGTTGGCTAATCCAAATGGCATTACTGTGTACTCGAAATGTCCATAACGAGTCCTGAACGCCGTCTTCCATTCATCTCCCTTAGCTACCCTGATCTGATTATATCCCCAACGTAGATCCAACTTGGTGTAGTACTGTGCCCTTGACAGTTTGGCTAGAGTTTCCTTCAAGAGTGGTAACGGATACCGATTTTTGACCGTGATTGCATTTAGACCTCGGTAATCCACACAGAGTCGAAGAGTCCCATCATTTTTCTTCACGAACAATATGGGTGCTCCCGCCGGCGATTCACTGGCCCTGATAAATCCTTTTGGTAGATTTTCATCGAGGTATTCCCGTAGCGCTTTTAATTCTATCTGGGACAGGCCGTATATTGGTCCATATGGAGGTCGTTTACCTTCCTCCAATACGATCTCAATATCATGGGACGGTCGATGTGGCGGCAGGACAGAAGCATCATATTCTTGGAACATGTGGAGACGATGGTGGAACTCCTTTGGTACTAGCTGCTTGACGTTGACGGTGGATTTCTCAACTGCTGAAACGACAACAGTATGATGTTCCGGTAGAGGGATCGATATTCCATGGACAGTAACTGCAGTTCCACTGAGTGAACAGTGTTTAACACAGTCCCGAGAATCAAAAACAAGTAGATTATCCTTTGGCCGAATGGTGACATCGTGCCGTCGCATCCACGGTATTCCCATCACGATCGGATAATGTCCCAACTTTGTAACGAAACATGAGGCAATTTCTCGGTGGCCATGAATATCTAGTGAAACATCGACAATGTGGGTAATTTCTCCTGACTGGATAGGTCTTCCATCCATAACATCTACCTGGCGAGGTTTCCTAAGGGGGGTCATTGCAAGATTGTTGTGACGTACGAAAGATTCATCGATAAAAGCATATCCTGATGCTCCAGTATCAATGAGAGCGTAGATGGAAATGAAAGAGTCGGGATTCTGAGAGACCGAACAGGTAACAACAAGAGAGTCTTCGGACATCTTATCCTCAGACACAGCAGCAGCAGCAGAGAGAACAGAAACAGGTGGCGGGGCTGGCCCCTTTGGTTTGCCATTTTTTACCAAAGGGGCTAACCTTTTAACGCCGGCTTTGGGGATCCATTTTCAAGTGGCCTTTCTCGCCAATTGCTAATGGAACGGGGATCTTTGGTGCGGGGAGCCAGGTAACGAGGCTTGGAGACATGGCGAGATTTAACTGTAGCGGTGGAGACGGAGATACGAGAACGAAGGTCAGCAATAATGGCATTTGCTTGAACCTCCCAGGCCTTTGCAACAGAGGTGATGTGAAGAATCTCATCTTCAGCATCAGCGAGGTTCTCATCGGCGATAGCGAGACTTTCCTGATGTAGTGCCAGGCGATACCGAAGCTCCTCCTCTTCGGCCTTAGACTCCTCCAGCTCAATCTTCAGAGCAACGATAACCTCGTCGCGACCTCGGATGATCTCAGTAGAATCTTCCTGGTTATCGCACAAGGTTTGCCAAAAATCGGCAGCCTTTTCGTTGGCTGCTTCTAGTTCTGTGGTGAGGCTGGTAATAACCTCTTCCTGGGCCGTATCGATAACGGGTTCTGATGGCGTGGGGGTGTCGAGAGGCTTGGTGAGAGCCTCCAAACACTCAGCAATAAGGCCATGAACCTCGGTAAGTTCTTCGCCGAAGTCTATATCGGCTGGGAGGGGACCATAGGTGATCAGAAATTCTGAAAGACGCTGTAGCAGCGTATCCTGAGTGCTGTCGGACATAGTCGCCACCAGAGTTAAGCAAGGTGGTGTTGTATCGGTTGGCTGTAGAGGACGCAATCTAAGTGTAACGGGGACTATGGGCGTAGGAACTATAAAGCCAAGGAATACAACCGAGGCGAAGACGTGGACGTAGGAGGTTCGTGGACTATGGACTATGGACTATGGGGCCGAAGGGTACACCTAAGGCAAGAACGAGGACTGTGGACTATGGACTATGGATGGTTATACCTGGTCTAGTATACCGGGTAAACCCTATGACGTAGCGCGAACCAAATAATATTCGTAACTGTGAAGTACAGAGATTGCGTAAAGAGAAAAGAGAAAGAAAGAGAAACAAGAAATCACAAGACAACACCCCCCTTATATATCCATACCCTATTCCAATGCTGACTCATACCCTCGCGTAACAGAAACAAAAAGAACATAATAGAAACCCGCTTCACTAAACCCAACCACACTGCATAATCCTTCTCCCTTATACTCAGACAACTCAAATAGCCAACCCGCCTAGCTGCCGTTACAGTAATATTTCCAACCGATCACAAAGCGACCTCCAGAATTCTGCAACGAACTGTGTCCCTCGATCGGATACGATGGTATCTGGTAATCCATGCAGCTTCCAAACGTTATCGATATATAGCCTCGCTACTTCCCTTGAATCTGCCTCTTTAGTCGTTGGTATTAGATGTCGCATCTTAGTTAATCTATCCACCACAACTAAGATTGCATCATATCCATCGCTCTCAGGGAGATCAGTGACAAATCCATCGATATATCCATCCATGGTCCTTCAGGTATTGGCATAGGACGGAGTACTCCATAAGGTGCATTGCGTGGTGCCTTGCTACAGACACACACATGGCAATTCCTAACGTATTGATCAACATATTTTCGCATTTGTGGCCAATAATATTCTCGGTTTAGAAGTTCCAATGTCTTTGCTCTACCCGGATGTCCTGCGGATGGTTTGTCATGGTATTCTTTCAAAAACCTTAGTCGGAGGTCATCGTCGTCTGGTACATATAGCATGCCTCGATAAAGTAGCCGACCGTTGTCATCTTCCGTACATTCGGTAAGCGAGATTTTATTTGAGTGGCGAACGCCATTCCGAAGCATAGTGAGGATCTTGTTTGGAAAACTATCGACTTGGTAAGCCTTTGAAAATAATTCCTCTACAGCGGACGCTCCTTCAGCGGATTCATTTGACAAGAACCCGCGAACAAACTTAGCTTGGTATCCAAATTTTTTCGCTTCAGAATCACTTGACTCTGATGCGTCAACCGTTCATCCCCCTCCTTAGGTAGGTCACCTGACCTCCTAGTCAATGCATCTGGTTTTGTTCCTTGTTTTCCTGGCCGAAATTGTATAACGAAATCAAAGCGTGAAAGAAATTCGGACCAACGGGCTTGTCGACGATTTAAAAATTTTGTTGTCATAAAATATTCAAGATTCCGATGGTCGCTAAGAACTTCAATTGGGAATTGAGCTCCTTCCAGGTGATGTCGCCATTCTTCGAAGCATCGTATAATTGCTAAAAGTTCTTTGTCATAGATTTCGTAGTTGCACTCTGCAGGAGAATGCTTCTTGGAGAAGAAAGCGACTGGATGTAGGATTCCCTCATCATCACGTTGAGATAGGATTCCTGGTGAAACATAGTCGGATGCATCGGTTTCTATCACAATTTTTCGATCCGGATTAAAATGAGCTAGTATCGGTGCCGTTGTAAACATCTTTTTCAAAGTTTGAAATGCTTCCTCCCTTTCATCTGTCCATTCAAATTTAACATTTTTCTTTGTCAAGGCTGTAAGCGGAGCAACAATTTTCGAATATCCCAGAATAAACCGTCGATAGAAATTTGCAAATCCTAAAAATACTTGAACATCGTGAAGGTTTGTTGGTATGGACCATTCTAAAACATCGACAACTTTCCTTGGGTCCATTCTGTTTCCATTCGGAGTAAGGATTAAACCGAGATATTTTGTTTCCTGAACTATAAATTCACATTTTTCAGGTTTAAGATGAACATGATTCTCATCAAGTACCTCTAGAACCTTTTGAATGTGTTTTTTATGTTCTGATAGAGTCTCGGAATAAATAAGGATATCGTCTAGGTATGCCGTTACGAATTGGTCGAGATAAGGACGTAAAATATCATTGATCCAGTGTTGAAATTTGGCAGGGGCATTAACTAATCCAAACGGCATTACTGTATATTCGAAATGTCCATGTCGAGTCCGGAACGCTGTTTTCCATTCATCTCCTTCCGCTATCCTGATTTGATTATATCCCCATCGTAAATCCAACTTGGTATAGTATTCTGCTCTTGATAACTTAGCCAGGGTTTCCTTTAACAATGGTAATGGATATCGATTTTTGATTGTAATCGCATTTAGGCCTCGATAGTCAACGCAGAGTCGAAGAGTTCCATCGTTTTTCTTTACGAACAATATAGGCGCTCCCGCTGGTGATTCACTAGCCCGAATAAATCCTTTAGGTAAATTTTCATCAAGATATTCCCGTAGTGCCTTCAACTCAATTTGCGATAATCCATATATAGGTCCATATGGTGGTCGTTTACCTTCTTCTAATACTATTTCGATATCATGAGGCGGTCGATGTGGTGGGAGAATTGAAGCATCGTATTCTTTAAACATATGGAGGCGATGGTGAAATTCCTTTGGTACTAGTTGTTCAATGTCGACAATAGATTTTTCGGTTGCTGAAACAATGACTGTATCGTGTTCCGGTAGAGGAATCGAGATACCATGAACAATAACTGCAGTTCCATTGAGTGAACAGTATTGACAACAGCTTCGAGAGTCAAAAACAAATAGATTCTCTTTCGGTCGAATCGTAACATCATGACGTCGCATCCAAGGTATCCCCATCACAATCGGATAGTGTCCTAATTTCGTCACAAAACATGGCACCGTCTCCCGATGACCATGAATGTCTAACGAGACAGCGACAATATGGGTAATCTTTCCTGACTTGATAGGCCTTCCGTCTATCACGTCTACATGGCGAGGTATTTTAAGGGGGGTTATTGTAAGATTGTTGTGGCGTACAAAAGATTCATCAATGAAAGTATATCCTGATGCTCCGGTATCAATAAGGGCGTAGGTAGGTACGAAAGAATTTTTATTTTGTGAAATCGAACAAGTTACTACAAGTTGATTTCCATCTATTTCCTCCTCTGATACCGAAAAGCCAGAAATATGCATCCTAGAAAAATCCTTAAACGGTCCCTGGGCTAAGCCACTTAGTGCAGGGACAAATCTTTTGCCGACTCGTTATCACTTCCATCATTATCCTCCACCCTCAACGCTGCTCCCCTCATAACCGGTCTCCTTTGTTGACCTCCTGTTGCCCTTGCTTGAGGGCAATCCCTAACCATATGCCCGACACCTCCGCAATAGAAACATCGGCCCTCAGCTAAGCGGGCGTTTCTTTCGGCAGGGGTAGGGCGACGACGTCCTCCAGACAGATCCATGGGTACATCACCTCCAGGACGGAACGAGGGGTGATTCTCAGTGGCAGGTGGGTTGGCAGCAGGGGCAGCGGGACGGGGAGCAGGAACAGGATTTGTTGGTGGGGGACGCGGAGCCGGGGTCGCAGTAGTAGTCCAAGGTTTTTTACTACCTCGCTTAGCTTTCGCCGCCCGTCGTCGGTTATCCAACCGTTGCAAAAGTGTTGCACAACCATCCACCGTTGCAGGGGTCTCATGGTGTATCATCGATTCGTCCAGTTCCCCATTAATTCCTTCCATCAAAGCTTCAATCCGAGAGACTTCATCCATTCCCGACTCAGCAGCATACCGTTGAAATTCAGCGAAGTAGTCAGCGAAAGTTCGAGTGCGTTGTCTGATATTCCGGAGATTTCTCCTAGCCGTACGCATTCGATCGGGGTCTCCAAAAGCTGTATCCAGAATCTCATAAAACCGTGTCATAGAAGGTAAGGCAATACCTTCTTCTCCCATATACTGTAAGAACTGATTGGCAGCAGCACCTTCCAATCTGCTGAACGCATACGATAACTTAGACTGTAGTGTAGGATAGCGATCGGTATTTCCTAATAGCTTGAGTTTCATTTGTTGCTTGAATAAGTGTAACCTTTCTCGATCACGATCCCCTCTGAATACGTCGGGGTCTGGGAGTTTCTCCGACCGATAGATAGTGCCTGCAACTGGTGGTACTGGAGGTACGGGTGGAGCATTGTTTCCAATAGGTTCTTCGTCAGGGGCCACAACCTCAACAGCAGTTCGTTGAGCTCGGGCAGCAGTAAGATCTCGTTCAAACATCCTTCTTGCCCTCTCAGCCTCCGCTTCTACCTCCTGTAAATCGGTTGCATATTGAGTAAGACCATTTTGACACTGTTGAAGAAGCGCATAGGCTTCAGCTCCGACAACGTTGTCGACCTGTGGATGCGCTTGAAAAAATCTTTGGAGGTTATCGTTGAGTTGTTGATAATCGACATGGACATGTTCCGACATTGTAGACTATGGTGTTGTATTAGTTGGCGATAGAGGACGCAACCTACGTATTACGGGGACTATAGGCGATAGACTGTAGTGCCAAGGAATACAACCTAGGTAGTGACGTCGACGTGGACGTAGACGTAAAGGTATACTTTAACTATAGACTATGGGGTGGCTCTACCTGGTATGATAAACCGGTTGGAGCCCTATGACGTAGTGCGGACAAAGAATAGTATTCGTGGAATAAATACAGAGGTTGCGTAAAGAGGAAAGGAAAGAAAAGAAAACAGAAGAAAACCGAGACAACACCCCTTTATATATCCAGACCTCAACCCACAATGACTCATCTTCTCGCGTAACAGAAACAAAAAGAACATAATAGAAACTCGCTTAACAAATCCCACACACACTACGCAATCCTTCCTTTACATACTCTGACACTTCACATAACCGAAACGTATGGCTGCCGTTACATTCACTCTGGCCGGTCTTCTAGTCACTGGTGAGGCTTAGACTCGTCAGTCATTGCTCCCATGAATATATCCTCTTCCTAGCGCCCGGAATGTAGTTACTCTAACAGCTGGTAGCTAACCACACTGCCGGTACTTGCATATCACCGTGCAACTGGCTTCTAGCAATAACTCTCAGCATGTAACCGGGCCCTGTGTGTACTAATACACCAGACAGTGTTTGGGGAGATGCCAATGCTAAGCGATAATTCTGTAGCTTTTAAACTTATAATATTGTAGACCGGATTCCGCTCGCTGAGTGACTGATGATGCCACTAAGACGAGGCGGAACCCTTCCCTATTTATACATATTGGAACCTATGCCAAGGCCCGCTTTCTAATACTAATGAGATAACGATAATAGAATAAGACAATCAACCCGAAGATAACCCTAATAGAAAAGCGCCCCCGCATAGTTCCGTTCCTCCATTCTAATTCCGACACGTAACCATGAACCCCGCAATTGCCAGTAACCGAGCTGTATCATGCTATTGTCCTAGAGCAACTTCCCTAAGTAGAATGGCCTGCAGCCATAAGCCCCGCTTCTATTCCGTTCCTGGTGAGACACCCGATAGTAAACGTGCCCTCACAACAGCCTAATACTAGTGTGGTTGCACCCGGTGCCCCCACACCCCTCGGTACCTTTCTATGCTTGTTCCCTCGTTACCCGACCGTACTCACATCACAACCCATCACTCGTATTATCCTTGTTCCTTGACTTAGGAGCAGTGTTCGTATTTCCTGTAACACTACTCCCCCTTCCTAGACGTCGCCCTCGACCGTTAAAACCTCTCTATGATAAAAACCCTTTGGGAAAAGTCATAGAGTAGGAAAGGTATCGAGCTAGTCTTCCCTAGTCCGCTGTCGTTTCAGAGGTCGTCTCGAGTCGGTGACTGGCCCTTGACTCCGCGTATGGGGCCGAGTGTTGGTAACCGGTTTGAAGTTCTCATCTAAGAGTGCCTCTTGAGGGTCGGGTGTTGCGAGTCGTTTTCGTGTGTTCTGTTGCCTGCCCATGTTGGGCTCCTCTCGATAAGGTCTTAGCAACATCTCGTGGAATACGTCATGAACCTTCCATTCTGCCGGAAGATTCAATCTATAAGCCCTGTTTCCTACAGCCGCGGCGACCTCGA